TTCTTCTCTTCGGGAAAATGGTTCCGACTATTGATTGTTGACGGAAAATTTGAGAGTTGCACATAATTCAATGTATATTTGCACTTAGGATAATTAGCGCATGTGCTTATCTTTTATTGTTATTGTGAAAAACGTCATTATTTTTTATTTTTGATATTTTCATCTTTATTTCTACATTTCATTCAACAAAATGTCATTTCATTTATTTTCTCAATTGAAAGCTGTAAATTGATTAATATACTCTCCTGTTTAAATAAAACAAAAAGAGGATGAAAAAAGTAATTGTAACCATAATTTGATTTTTTTTTTAAAAGTGCAAACGAATTTCAAATAAAGTATTAAATGTGCATTTAGCACAAAATGTACATACCATTTATAATTATTGTGAAAAACGTTATTACCTTTTTTTTTTTTTGACATTTTCACCTTTAATTATATATTTGAGTGCACAAACCATAATTTCTATCAATTTTCATCAAATTTTTCAATAAAAAGTTGTGAATGACGAATATACCCTCTTTTTAAATAAAAAAAGAAAATTTATTTTTTTAAATTCTAATTTTTTAAATAATTTATTTAGGACTCATTTACAATTTACAATTTTTACTTTTAATTTTTAATAATTTATTTGGGATTCATTTGCACTTTTAAATATTTTAGTTTCTAATTTTTTAATAATTTATTTGGGACAGCTTGCACCTTTTTAATTTTTTTAATTTCTAATTTTTTTCATAATTTATTTGGGACTCGATCTCACTTTTAAAAAATAAATTAAAACTATGGTTACAATTAGTTATTTATTTTTTTTATTTAAATATGAGGGTATATTTATCATTTCACAGTTTTTTTTTTAATTTAGAAATTCTATGAAAATGAATAGAAATGATGATTTGCGTAATTAAATGTGTAATTAAGAGAAGTGTCAAAAAATGAAAAGTATGGACGTTTCTCACAATAATAATGAAAGGTATGACATTATGTGTTAATTACCCTTTTAATAATTTATATGGAACTCATTCCACTTTTTTTAAAAAAAATTTGAGACTATATTTGCAATCAGTTCTTTCTTTTTCTTTTCCTTTATTTAAATAGAAATGTATATTCATTATTTCACAACTTTTAATTAAGAAAATTGATGGAAATGACTTTTTATGAAATGAAAGGTGAAAATGTCCAAAAATTAAAGGGGATGACGTTTTACAGAAAAGTATTGAAAGGTAAATTACCATTTCCATTAACATTAAAGTCAGTTATACGTTAATATGTTTTGTTCAATCCTACATATATTAGAAGTTTTAGTGCAATTATATTCTATTCTAGCTTTGAGCTATCAGTTGAATACTTGACTACCAATTGAATTTCGGTTAAATTTGAAAATAATAATTACTCAGCATACTCCGCTTAATAAGACTAATATTTTAATGTCGAGCTATCAATCGTCCTACATGGTATTTTTTGTGACAACTCGTCATTACTTTCCTTTAGTTTTGTTGTCTCAAATAACAAGTTAATATCTCAATAATAAACTGACACAGAAGAACTACTGCAATCATTAACTATGAAGATCATTACTCATCTTTATGTGACGGGGAAGTATACAAATAAGGCATGGGAGTATGCGTGATGTCTGCACTTCCAACTCGCTCACCATCTTTATGGGACAGAACGAGTATAAAAATTAGCACTAATGATTCTTAGCATCAATTTTGACGACAATGGATCCATCCAAACTTGAACAATGAAGTTAAGATGTATTTTAATTTATCGGATAAGTTTAAGTAGATTTCACTACCAGCTAAATTGGTGTCAGATAATTCTTTATGCAGCTACCAGAACAATCCTTCTATGATAGGTTACATAGAAATGAAACATTTTTCATTGTCACCATTCTTTTATGTTTAAGAATTCATTTGACAAAATTATGGTTTAAAAATAATGGGTCCATGAACAATGGCAGACTCAGCACCCGACGAGGGGTACGACCGTGCGTGTTGGGCTCCACCGGAATAGTGACCAGTAGAAGGAAGAATATCATTTATACCAAAACCAATTTGAAGGCCAAGGTTTCCAAGTTCAAACCCTCATCACATTCCAATTTCCACTGTTCCACGCTGACGTCTCCACCTTCTGTTGCAGCCTATTGTGTCGGACGACGTCAACGAGTCGCCAGATCGGATGACTAAAGTCTAGGATGGTTGGACCTCCCGTTTGCAGCCTGCTATGCTAGGACCCGTGACCAATGACCACTAGCAATAAGTCGTTCTCTCTCTCTTTTGGTTTTGGTGTTATTTTTTATTTATGAGTTATGACTATCCTTACTTATGAATCATGATTTATGTTCTATGAGTTAATTGACAATTTGACATTGAAATGAGAATTGTGAATATGTGATTTGGGATAAATAATTTATGTTGCACTATCATTGAGTTATGAATTGTAATTTATCATTTATGAGTTTAGATTTGTGATTTGAGAATTTTTGTTTAGGATATTAGGATAAGTGAAAAAAAAAAAGTCAATTGAGAAGATGTTTGGCTCAAATCAATCACGTGTACTCTGTTTTTTAATCAATTGTAATTGAAAAATAAATTGTGACATTTTGTAGATTATTAAATGATTTTTTCAATCGAAATGAAAGTCTATACCTGTTTCTTCTAGCACTAGTGGTGCATGTAGTCTCGTTAGTACTTCTAGTCGAGCACACGATGTCTTAAATAACACGAAAAAGTCTCGGGCTCAATTCAATGTGGATGATCTTGTATTTGATCCAAGGAAACACCTCCATATTGAGTCATATAATTTTAGTATCAGAGCTAATGTTGGGATGTCATACTTAGAGAAATGTCATTGTCAACCATATGGACATGACTTTCCAAGAAGAGTGATGGGAAGTGATAATAGATGTTTTCGGAAAGAATGGTTCGCTGAATTTGTTTGGTTGGAGTACAGTGTAGAAAATGATACGGTTTATTGTTTGTATTGCCACTCGTTCAACCCAATAGAGAAGGTCAAGGGAATGGACATATATTCACTAAGATCGACTTTAGGGATTGGAAGCACAAAAAGACATTGAAAGATCATGTCAGTTTCTTTGATAGTGCTCATAATCAATCTTTCACAAAGTGTACCAACTTGATGAATCAAAAGCAAAGTATCTCCTACATTATTTCTAGCCAAAGTAGTGGCCAACAAAAAAATTATA